GAGGTTATCTCGATGATTAGACTGTTATCTCGGTGGTTAATTAAATGACGTCTGAACAAAAATACACACGAAATTTTGATACATATTATCGAGTCCATGTATTGTTAATTGGTTATTTTAGATTTTTAGTAATTTATATCTACGTTTTAGTATGTTATAAATCAAACATGAGAATTTGAGTCAAATCGATGAAGATGAATTTGACAGCTTATACCCCTTCAAACTGTTGGCGAAACTTGCTTGTGTACTTACACTTACACTTAATACCACATACATATTAAATGATTGACGTAGCTAGCTAATATTAACCTAAACAATTCCGAAAATTTAACATAACATTATTGACGAAGTTAACAGAGAATATACCAAAACTAACAAATCTAAAGGTTTCAAACAACATTATTGAAGAAGCCAGCTGATGTAAGTCAAACGATTCTGTAGGTTTATGTTACATTATTGTCAGAGCTAGCTTATGTAATATACTAATACTACACAATTGCTTTATATTGGTAAAATTACATAAGCTCTCTTACGTTTAACATTCCCCAATTTTCATCGTAAGCAAAGGTAATTTGTGATTAAAATAAGTGGTCAATAGTTTTTATTTACATGATTTGATTGCGATGTAACATACCTTGAACGGCCTATCATAAGACAGTGTTAAACTTGAATCTTTGACAAACGTAATGAATACAACTTTCCATTGGCAATTTCTCTACCAATCGAATTGCGTTGAAAATTATTTTATATCTCTACCTGTGTGACGTTTACATTCTGACGTCAAACACGCGATTCTACGCCAGAGTTAATGTTAAAATTACGATTCGGTCCCAGTGCTTAAAATCCCTCGATCCTTTATGGGTTGATTTGGCATACATAAATAAAATACAAAAATAAGTAAGCAATGAACGAGATTGTTAAATGTGATATATGCTTTTTTGTGCTTCTTTGTTAAATATTAGTTTGTTTTTGTTGTGATTAATATTTAGATTGTGACACGGTGTTGACTGTTGTACTCCTATTTTGACATTTTTACCTTTTATGTCTTACTACATAGGCACAGACAATTCATTCCATCTTTAACAATATCTGTACAATGTAAAGAACGCCAAAAAATCTCATGATATTGTTGGCATACCACAGTTACTCTTTTGTTTTAGATGCGATGTCATTTGGAATTGAAGTAGGGTCTATTTTTTCTGGGATATAAGAAAGATAAAAAGAAAGAAGTTATAAAGTTTATTTTAAACATTTTTTGGTGTTGTTACCTCTGTGTTTTTATTCTGATAAAGTATTGCTTGATTAACGTCCAGTATTTACTGCATATTAGAAACGAGAACAACTTAACAATTAATACAATAGGAAGCTTCTGCAATGTAGGTCAATTGGGAAAAAGGACGAAAACGCACGATTGCCACTGCAAAAGGCTACCTTCGGACCTTTTAGAGAGTTTTACAAGGATTTGCTAATACAAAACATTACCATACAATATAGTGTATCCAATTAAAGACCACTCATAGGACAGAATAACTAGAAAAATTTACTACTATGTGTTTGAGCTTTTGATTTTGCCAATTGATACGGGACTTTCCGTTTTGAATTCTCCTTGGAGGTTTTGTTATTTTACTTTGTATATTATTTTATATCTCTTTCTGTCCCGAGACTGGTTATTGAATTACATAGGTGTTTTCAGATCTTCTCAATTCTTACAATCCCTTAGCTTTATATTCATATTTTCCAGGTTACATTTTCTTAACCTTCAACTACAAGAACCTTTTTATCTGCGTATTGGTCAATTTACTATCACATAAAAAAACGTTTGTTGGCATCTTTGTCAAATTTACTATCAACTACAACACTTTTTGCTGGCGCCTTTATTAGTTATTTGTATATTTGTTTGAAATTTTAAGTCAGTTGTGATTTATGTTTACACAGTTTTGGCTGCTGGATCCCAATTGTCTGTTTGGGTTGCTCACCAAATTTTGTCAATATAACGAAACTATAAACAAATGTCATACAAGTGGGATGTTTAGCTAGCTATAACACCAGGTATAACCCACCATTTCCTTCGGAAAATGCTTGTACCAAGTCAGGAATCTGGAAGTTATTTTTTACTCGTTCCGTTGGCTGATTTGTTTTCGTCATTTTTTTATTAACCTTTCCTTTTTAAATTACCTTGGAGTTTGGTATTTTGTTATACCTTTTTTCTTAACGTGCAGAGATTGTGGTTCTCAACCTAGACGAAGCATTAAATTTTACGTCCACATTCTGACATGACGTTGCTGCATATTTATACAATTTTCAAAAGTAATCAGTTACAATAAGAGCAAACCTAATTGTTCTCGAATATAACCGATCTGTTCATATTTCTTTTTAGCGAGTGGGCGTATTTGAAGTTGTCTTCTTGATAACATTTAAATTACAATAATGATGTAACATGCACATCAAGTAACAACTGGAAAAAAGATTAACACAATTCATCATCATCATAGGAGCTGCAACACTTTCTAATAAAAGTTTAACTGATAGATCCTATTATTTATTTAATAGATACAGATTATGCAATCAATCACTAGCTACAAAAGGTGAATAAAACAATCACACATCTCTTAATTTCAATGCCATTTCAAAGAGTGTAGGACATGAAGGCTTTGGGCAATCGAAAAGTGTGAATTCAAGTATCAATTGGATATAAATGCTAGAAATATGGTAACTGGGCTCGGAACAAAGGTTTAAGTAATAAAACTCAGTACAAAATTAGTTTCGTGGTCCGAAGCGCTTTTAGGGAATTATCCTCGCTAGGAATGCTCAAATCTAAACATTTGAAAGGCAGTGGCTGTTTTCACAAACAATTTTAGGACTAAAATTGATTGTAAGTTATACTGAAAAAAGTAAAATAACAAAAATACCTAACTCCAAGGAAAATTAAAAACTGAAAATCCCTTAGCAAATGGAAAAATCAAAAGCTCAAACACATCAAACGAATGGAAAACAAGTGTCAAATTCCTGACTTGGTAGAGGTATTTTCTTGTGTAGAAAATGGTGGATTAAACCTGGTTTTATACTAGTTAAACCTCTCAATTGTATGACAATCGCATAAAATTCCATTATATTGACAACAACGTGAAATGTGCATGACTTAATATGGTTTTTTTGAAACGATTGGATCTATATTTCTAAAGAATCCCCAAAATCCTACTAAAACAAAGTCGTGTTTTGATAAATTCTGTCACTAATAAAGAAGAATGTGTCTGAGGACACGAATGCTCTCGCTCAAGCTTGCTTATAATATGTGAAAATACTTTTGGGACGGACTGAAGAACGGAAGGAAAGACGGACGGAGGGACGGACGGATGGTCAAAGGTAACACTTAATGCACCCTTCGGCTAGCTGCGAGTGCATAAAAAAGGAAACTGATATCAAAAGTGAAACCGATGGTGTTAAAAACAACTAAAAGTATAACAAAGGCCGTGTTTACACGAAACGTCGCGTACTCTAACCTGTTTACAATTAGTTTCCAGTTACAGTTTGCACATGGAATTTGTTCTCATCCACCGCTTTGAATCTCATGTACATGATAATTGTTCACACCAGTAAACCACATGTACACGTAATTTAAATGTACATTACATTGAGGGGTTAGATAAATTGTTTAAATTCGAATCTATTTTCAAAAAAGATTTGTTTCAGGAGGGAAATCAGAAAAAAATGTTCATTTCCATTGAAGATTAGAGGAGGGGAGTTTTATTTGGTGTGTACAAATTTTCCTGTATGTCATTGAAGAACAAAATAGTTTATCCTTCGAAGATGAATTGTTGGTGCATTATGAAAATTGGTCTACTGATTTGGAGTTCTTTGAGAGTTTAAAGATTTCACGATTACGCAGGCTTAAGAAGCATACCAAAAGGAAAGAGAAAGGATTATGAAAATGAATATTCTGGACTGGTACTAACTGTACAAATAACCTTGCCAAAGACAAGATGAAAATTAATTTTTATTCCTACAAAATGCAGGACTTTGTAAGAAATAGTTGTGTACAAAAGGTGTAAATAAAAAATCCGTTCTAGGACCAGGTGTAAAATAAATATTTCATCCGCCAAAAATCCTCCTCCCTACTTAAAATAAAATTTGAGTTTTTGTCATGTGAACAGGTAAATTACTTAATTCATTATATTATTATTACCATTTTTACTCAATATATGTATCTTCCTTAAATATTCATAATAAAATTCACGTTCTTAATATCTAGTATTATTTACACTTAACCCAAACAAGGTCTACATTGACTATCGCCTGCATGTAGTCAAAATATGAATTATACTTTTTTCAGCTCAATGTGAACACGGCTTAAACAGGTTCAACCCACCATTTTTTCTTAAAATGTCCTGTCCCAAGTCAGGAATATGGCAGTTGTTATCAGACAGTCCGTTTCTATGTATGTTGGCGTTTGCTTTTGTTGTAGTTTAATGTTTCTGTTGTTCCGTTGTTTTCCTCTTATAGTTGATGTGTTTCCCTCGGTTTTAGTTTGTTACCCGGATGTGTTTTTGTTAAATCGAATTATGACTATTGAACAAAGGTGTACTACTGTTGTCTTTATTTAAGCTTTTAGGTTTTACAAAATATATCTTATAATTGTGTTAATATTCATAATATCTACTTTAAAACCCTTTGAATTCTAATAGTTTTCAATAAAGGTTGAACTAGAATAGTTCATCTTAAGCAAAAAGGTGTATTAATGAAGAATTATGCTTAAAACATTTTTAATTGTAATATTTCAATGGCCTCAATGATAACCTAAAATCAGACATTTGATAACCTCGAACATCAAATCTTGAGTTTTAAATCAAGCATTTTAATTTTCAGAACCTACAATTTTGAGCCTTGGATAATCTTTCTGTACTTCTAGTATAATATTTTCCGATATATTTATAGGACATAAATTTTTCAAAGTGCCTTTGTTATCTCATTTTTTTCTTATACTGTTTTTTTTTTCTTTTAAGTGTTAGATGTAAAGGAACGTCAACAGTCAACTCATATGTCAACCCTTACCAACAATTCATCAAAAAGGAATAAAAGTGACATTAGATTTAACAGCTTGTTAAGAAACACACTTTAAGGTTTCATCTCCCGAAGTCACAGTTGACCTTAGATATGTTGGACTATTCTTTCGAGGTTTTAGTGTTATAAGTATATATTCATCATTGGCTTTTAAATTTTTAGTTTTGAGTATCCCTAATGGAGATAAACTCAGAAAAGGCACATTCAATATGTAGCAGACTGAAAGAAACCTGTAGATTTACCATTCATTAGTAGAACTGTTTAGTGTATATCTTGCTTTCGGCATTCTAATTGGGGCACAAGGAAACCTTTTCAGAGAGCATTTCGCAATAAACAAGCCGATCTATAAAATTCACGAAATTAAATAATTGCTATCTCAGACGTTACTAAAACATTTCATGTTTGGCAATCAACTAAAGTACGGTACGGTAATATCTGTCAATAATTTTATCAAAAGTTTATGTGATAGAACATGTCAGCCTTGAAACTACATATTACAACAATAATTAAAATGAATGACTCAGATTATATAAGACAATGTTTGTTAATGTTTCACTGAATACTCTATAAAATCTAAATTCTGCTATTCCTGGTGTTAATTACAATATAATCATAGGAACCGCAAGCAAATAATGATGTTATTAGATATTTTTTGTCGCATGAAAGATCTCCTAGCTGTACAATTATGTCACGCTTTTATTATACGATTTTATACCAGAATAATAGGAGGAGTTAAACTAATTTGTGAAACTAAAATAAAAAGATACTGCAATTAAAGTTATTTGTACTTTTTTGTTTCCATTTATTTTGACATGATATATTCCACGTGATTTCACATGTGGTTTTGGTTACATTTTTGTTTTCACTTAGTTTGACAAAAAAAAATCATCAAAGATATCAGGCTGATAAATGTGTGCACCAGAAGCAATGCGTTTCGTCTACAAAAGACTCATCAGTGACGCTCGAATAAAAAACTTGAAAAAGGCCAAATAATGTACAAAGTGGAAAAGCATTGAAGACCAAAAAATTAGAAAGTTTTATCAAATACAGCTAAGGTAATATGATATTCCTGGGGTAAAAAAATACTAAGAATTTCGAACAATTCAAAGTTTTGTTAATTGCTCATTTATCAACATTTTCATATCAATGATAAATTATGTAAACACAAATACGCTGAATGTGCCCTTTAAGTGACCAGTGGTTTTGATTTCTTTGGAGTTGAGTAGTAACATATGTAATATCCTATTGTTTTGACTAAAACTGAGATACGCGTAAAGCTCAATGCATGATGACACCAGAAATGTAATTATCATGATTATGTTACACAACAATCCCATGTAATGTTTGCATTATGCCATTATTTTTATTAATCCTGAAAGGCAAATTCCATTTAACATTAATTCTACTGTAGTCCATACAAAAAAAAAAGGAAAAACATTTTTCCAACCAATGGAAACAACGTATTTATCACTGTCAACATTGAATATTGTTTCTGTCTTTTCTGTGTTTTTTTCTTATTTATCGCCTCAAACTCAAACAAAGTATTTATGAAAAAAAACCACACATATATTAGAAACAGCTTACCTAACGAATGCAGCAACGTTTATTTTCATCAAACTAAAACGACTGTCATCAAATCACTTTGCAATCACAATCTTAAGCTCCTGCAGCATACATGTCTAACACACTGTCACACTACAAAGAAAAAAAAAAGACAAAAACATAGAATTCGTTCATATATTTCTATAAAAGAAGATCCAGTTAATGTTCTTTAAGATCTGCTGAAAAATTAGTTCGGTACAATAATAAAAAAGTAATACAAAGCGTTTCAAAATTGAAACTTTACTGCACTAAGACTGATCTACGAATGGTCAAAATAAGAAAATATATTTTCAATGTAAACTTTTACCGCGAATGACAAGTCCGTGCTATCATGAAAAGAAACTGTAAACTCTTATCTATGCTTAGATGAATTATTGTTATGCTGAATAATTCAAATACTATAGTAAATATGAACATATGTTCAGTATAACAACAAACACATGTGTGCTACTGATAGTCAATAAATACATTTATAGTACCCAAATAATTACTTTTATACAAATATAAATGAAAGCACTTTGGCCATTATCTATCGTAACAAGAAGATGAAAGAAGCCAGATCTTTTAATTTCACATTCAGATATATTTTTGATGCTCTTTCCATTAACAATCCAAACTTTTCTGATTGAGTTCCATTAATATTTCCCCAGAACTAAAAAATTAACGAAACAACAGACACGGCCTCTTGCGCATCATTTTTGACTTATACCTCGAATTTGACATCAGTGGTCATCTTAGTACCATAATCTATGACAAACGAGCCGATTTTAATTCTGAAATTATAAATTTCCCCTACCTAAGGTGCAATATACCAACTTCAATAGCATATGAGATATACATTTCCCAAATCATTCGGTATTCAAGAGTTTGCAGCTGCTACTCAGACTTTATAAAACGTGTCCGAGCAGAAAGTTGATAAACCAGGGTTATGTCAAAGAACGTCTCGTCCTTTTTTTTTTTTTAAAAGTTCATCGGAAGATACCAAGATTTTGTTGATAAATACTCCGTATCAACTTCACAAATAATACATGATGGTCTTGAAGTATAGATTCTAGGTACATCTTAATTACGTATATAGTGTTCTTTTTATTTGTCTTTTTTTACATTTTAATCTTTATTGTTTAGTCCATTTTTGACTATTTCGAAAAACTAAGGATTTTCTTATCTCAGGAATAGATTACCTTAGCCGTATTTGGCACAACTTTTTGGAATTTAGGGTCCTCAATGCGCTCTTCAACTTTGTACTTGTTTGGCTTTATAACTATTTTGTTCTGAGCGTCACTGATGAGTCTTATGTAGACGAAACGCGCGTCTGGCGTATTAAATTATAATCCTGGTACCTTTGATAACTATTTACACCACTGGATCGATGCCACTGCTGGTGGACGTTTCGTCCCCGATGGTATCACCAGCCCAGTAGTCATCACTTCGGTGTTGACATGAATATCAATTATATGGTCATTTTTATAAACTTCCTGTTACAAAACTTTAAATATTTCGAAAAACTAAGGATTTTCTTATCCCAGGAAAAGATTACCTTAGCAGTATTTGGCACGACGTTTTGGAATTTTGGGTCCTCAATGCTCTGTACTTTGCTTTATAACTATTTTGATCTGAGCGTCACTGATGAGTCTTATGTAGACGAAACGCGCGTCTGGCGTATTAAATTATAATCCTGGTACCTTTGATAACTATTTGGTATATACTTTTGACGTGGCTAGGTGTTTATATATCCCGCCATTGTGTTATTGTGCTATGGTCATTTTCATATTCTTGTCATTCATTTTTGCCTACTTTATTTTGTCTATAGAGTGTTTATATGACATTTTGTTTTTCTTTGTTTAAATAGTTATTTGTTTTTGTAGTGATTAAGATTATAACACAATGTTGACTGCTGCACCCCAATTTTGACATTTTTACATATTTTGTCTGTTTGTTTCGCTCACACATTGTTGATAGTATAATTGAATACTATATGACAGTCATACAAGTGAGAGGATTAGCTAGCTATAAAACCAGGTTTAGTACACCATTTTCTACGTAAGAAAATGACTGTACCGAGTCCGAAATATGACAGTTGTTTCCATTCGTTTGATGTGTTTGATCTTTTGATTTTGCCATTTGATGAGGGACTTTCAGTTTTGAATTTTCATTGGAGTTCGGTATTTTTATTATTTTATTTTTTATTGTAATTGATTTTTCAGTTAATCATTAATATGCAGTTTTGGGTAAAAACCTACCTAAATTGAGACACTTGGTCAATCTGGTTTAAACTAGAAGTATTTATATCTTTACGCATGTATTGTAAAACGCATATAGCGTTCCCAATGATGGTTAAGCCTGAAACACTCTTTAAAGATATTGTATGGTTAGCTTTTCATTATCACAGCAATATAATAAAGTGAAGAAAAAATAATTGATAACCAAATCATATGAAACCTATCGTAAAGCTCTAGTCAATTAATTACGGACAACCGTATAGCAGAACGAAAACGGATATGACCTTGATCTATCTTGTAATTTAAATAAAAGTTAAATTAATAACTTACTACAAGAAACTTTGAGTTTCCATAGGAAAGAATAATCTACCCCTTTGTTAAATAATCTTCTTCAGTATAATGTGGAGTCTTGTTACAGTGAGATATCATATAAACTTTGGACAACTGTAATCTTGTAGTAAAACGCCATACCATATCTCTTTATTTTATATACACAAAGATTCTGTCTTTATTGTTGCTACAGACTAGTAGAACTATTCGCGTGTTATCTCAAACAAACAGACAGAATAATTTAATATTTTCATTATAAAAGACTGATGAGGAATACGTCAGTGTATGGAATTATTTTGTTGATAAATATGTGAAATTGTCTAGGTCAAACAATTTGTAGATGCTAATGTCCGTCGTAAGTTGGTTAATTTTATATATATTTAAACAGATCTTAAGTTTTGATTAACCAGGAATCATTCTTCATAGTAGTATTGTAATTGATCTTCTTCATCATTTCATATGATGCATGTTAAACACAATATAAAGGACATAATAGTATCAGTCATGAAACTCTTTCAACATTATGTGTATCGTCATGAGTTTCCAGGTAATCAATATTGTCAAGGTCTTTTGGGATCATAGTTTTAAACGAAAATTGGATATGACCTTGACCGATCGTGCAATATTTTCAAATTTTAACATTCCCAATAAGAAATCTGTGTAAAATAAGTACACCATCGATTTAAATATTAAAAAGAGAAAAAAAAGTAAGTTCTTAGATATGCATCAAATACATTTTTTCTCGTGTATTTCCTTCTCTTTTCAGTGAAGGTCTATTATCATATTAGCAGTCTGGAAATTATAACACTGAAATAATTGTTGTATTTGAATGTACAGTTTAGATCCATTAAAAAAACAAGCACTTGCAGCATCTGTGTCATTGACTATTAAACGTTATGACTAGGTTACCATGAATTAATAAACTATTAATCCAACAGTTTACAGTTACAATGAATATTTATCTATCTTGAATTCATAACGTATTTTAGTTCAACAAAAAAAATGTATAGTTAATAAATAATGAAATAAAATGGCATTTTGTCGATTCTTTATTATTTCTCATAATATCTATTCCACAGAGTGGTGTAAACAGATATAGCATACTAATTACTCAAATTAGTTATCATTTAAATTACACCATAAATCATTTCTGTTTGTTGAAGCATATGTTAAAATATGGTATTATTTTTCAATTAATATTGCATAATAATTATCTTATTGAACATTTAAATGTACATAAAATAATTTAGTGAGTGATAAATTACCGGAATAACTTTCCAAACGTGAATAAAATCAGGAGATAAATCTACAGATATCGTAAGGATACAAACACTAAACATATTTTGATTGTTAATTACATTGTGCCTTTACGTATCCCCAATGAAAACAAAATAATGTAACCTATGTACAAATAATTAATAGGTATGATAGCTAGACATTTTCGTGATTTCGGGTTTTCTCTCTACAAAAGATTGCAAAATTAAAAAAAAATAAAAAAAAAAATGCACTCGGTCAATAGTAGGTTAATACATTTTTGGATGTCAAGTTTGAATACATATCATATTTATCATACGTCTGAGAAAGTAATTTGAAGCACCAACAAAAATTAATCATTAAAGACGGAACAAAATACAAAAGTA